CTTGTCTTTTCACCTCCAACCTCCCAACTCCAGGATTCAGTTTAAAAGACATCCCATGTTCATTATGCTCTGCCAGACACATTTATCAGAGTCTTACTGAGGTGTAATCCACTTTGTATCAGCAGATCATTGTCCAAGTAATGGTGACCATGGTTTCAGAAATCAAACCAAACCAGATCTCTCCTATTGACACAATTTACCTGTAGAGTTTTTTTCTGTGAACCAAAGGATGGATTAGTACATCCCCTTAAGCTCTTAGGTTCTTCAGCTTCTTTCCTGGAGTTTTGAAGTTAGAAATGATGTGGCTGATGATATTACTTGTCCCACATGGAAGCTTTTGGTGGCATCAAACTAGCAGATTTGACAAGTGGATGTTAAATTCTGCTTTTTGTAGTGAGAAATCACTACTTATTACCACTCTCCTTTGTCCATGGTTTTTGTATATCCATGGCCATTGCTGGTATGTCATCTCAGTTGAATGAAGACTGGGATATTGAAATCTTACAGCAAAGATTCTTCTTGGTTTCTTAAAGAAGCTTGCAAGCCCCACCATGTTTGCAGATAGCTGGTCTGCATGGAACACTATGGAACTACTCTTTATTGCCTTTTGGGGTTTTTTTTCTTTCTATTTTGAGGGCTGTGTGGTACTTTGGATTTGAAGGCACAAAGATGCTATAAAATGTATGCAGACTTGAATGTAGCACCCATCTGCAACTTCTTGAACCAAATGTGTTTTTTTTTCCTGGCACGGTGGTGCAGTTGCAAAGGGCAGTTACATGACCCCTGGAGAAGATGCAGCTACTTTAAGGAGTCATAGACATGTAGTATTTAGTATTTTTATTTGGTGTGCACTTTTATCTAAGCGAAGCACAGACTTATTTTTCTCTATAACAGCAACTTTGTGAGGTAGGTTGAGCTGAGAGCAAGTGAATGGCGCAGAGTCACCCAGTAAACTTCTATGACTGAGGACAGACTCAAACCAGGGTGTTCCCTTTGCTTGTCTAATACTTTAACCATTACACCTCACTGACTGTCTAGCTCTCTTTCTCCCTTGCACTTCAAAGAGTCTCGAATCTGAAGTGTTACAAAGCTCTGCTTTTCTTCTTTTTCGGCTATGTGTTCTGTATAGTTAGTCCTCACTTAATGACCATTTGTTCAGCAACCTTTTGAAGCTACGACAATGCTGAACAAATGGTAGTTATGACTGATCCTCAGAGTTACAGCCATTGCAGTACCCCTGTAGTCATGTAATCAAAATTTGGGTGCTTGGCAGTCCACCAGCATTTACGATCGCAGAGTGTGCTTCAACTCCCCCATCTGCCTATCTCCCCCTGATCTCTGCTCTTTTGGCTGCCTACCCCTGCCACCCCCTGCTAGTCCTCACTGACCTGTGCCTTTGTCTTCCTCCTGCTGCTGACAAGATGCACCGGCTGAAGCAGCTGCTGATCCTTTGTGATGCTGCATGAAGGGCCAGCAGCTGCCTCAGCCTGGTGCACCTTGTTAGCAGCGAGAGGAAGAAACCGGCAATGGTGGTGGCAATGCTGTGTGAAGGGGCAGCAGCTGCCTCAGCCTGGTGTACCTCATCAGCAGCGGGAGGAAGAAGATGGCAGTGGTGATGGGGGTGACGGAGATAGGCAGAGGCGGAGTGTAGGGTGGCCAAAAGGTCAGAGATGGGGGAAAATAGGTGGGTGGGGGGAGTTGAAGCAGAGGTGAGCACAGCAGAGTAGAAGTGTGAGGTCCTTGCCTAACAACTGTGTGGTACTTGCATAATGATTGCAATGGGGACTACTGGAACTACCGTTGCTAAATGGTGCGGACGTGTGATGTTTCGCCTAATGACCACTTCACTTAGTGACAGAAATTCTGGTTCCACTTAGGATTGTTAAGTGAGGACTACCTGTATCCTGCCTGGCTATGAGTGAAGAGAAATCTATTAAGAGTGAGCATAAAGTTTGTATCATATGATCACTTCCTGTCCTGGATGTCCTGGAACAGTTAATACCTGTTGATACTTTTTTATATCAGACCAGAAGGAGATTTCACAATAGGCAGTCAATTTTGCATTAATTTCCTAGAATATTTATCACAACTGGGATTATAAAATTTTACTCTTTAGAAAAGGAATATAGTACCTAAGGCCCTTAAATAAAATTTGGTAATAGGATGTCCCGATCATGATTCAGTGCTGTTTAAGGCCTTATTCTTTGAGAAAGAATTAAATGTCTCCAAATTTCTATTTCACTTTCCCTTTTAGGAAAAATGAAAGGTATGAGTGGCGCTTAAGACATAGCAGAAAAGAATAGCAGACTAGGTTCATACATCATGCTAAGCTATAATGTAATTTGTTCCTCTGTGGTTTAGTTGAAATGTGAACAATTTCTAAATCATACAGGTAGTCCTCACTTAACGACCATTTGTTCAGCAACCATTTGAAGTTACGATGGTGCTGAAAAAATGGACTTACGACTGGTCCTAGCTTTTATGATCATCGCAGTGTCCCTGCAGTCATGCGATCAAAATTCAGGTGCTTGGTGACCAGACCACATTTGCGACTGTCACAGCATCCCATGGACATGTTCTACTCTGCGTCAACTGCTTCTGCTTCAATTCACCCTCCATCTCCCTCCTCCTTCCCTTTTTGTTACCCTGAACAGCATGACCAAGATGAAGAGGCCACTGTATTCCACTGCTGCTGCCTACCCATTGCCACCCCTGACCTTCGCTGTGTTCTTCATCCTCATTAGTGGGAGGGCTCTGTCAGCACTGGGCTTGCCACTGCCACCGCTTCCCCAGCCACCAGGCTCCTGGTGGGCCTGACCCACGTCAGCAGTCTCAGCCTTCTGCACATTCCCACGTGCATGTCCAACCTGCCTGCTGGTGCTCCACGTGCTGGACGGAGCTCATTGCCTCCTGGCTGCCTGCCGTGGTCTTTCAAAGCAGCAGCTTGTTCCATTGGGGGTGGCACCTCCTGGGAGGCAAGTGAAAGCAAGGCAGACATAGGCTGCAGATTGTGACTTGGAGCAGCCACTGCCTGGCTGGAGGTCCCTGCTCGGTGCAACCCTGACACGTCTCAGAGCTTCGCAGACTGGGTTCTTGCCATGCGCCTTGCCTGTTGCACTCTGCACTGTCTCAGGGGTGTGGGTGGGGTCTTTGTACAGCTGCTCCTTCCCAGGCAGGAAAGCTGCAGATGCCTGTTTGCCAGAGTGGGAGGCATGGACCTGGCAGTGGTGTTGCTTTCTCAGCTCCAAAGTGGCAGGGAGAGAGGGAAGGAAGGAAGGTTGCTCCCCTCACCTCTCTGGACACTCCTGCCTGGCTCGTGATGGGGCTGCTGTGCCCCCCACCCTCCCCCCCGGCCTGCCTCTGTCTCTGCTTTTTCCACGTAGACGCACCCGGTTAGAGGTCAGAGGATTTGTGTCGCTAAAGAAGGAAGCCAGTCACAAATACAAAGTTTTGTTTATTAAGTTTGTAACAAGGAAGAAACACGTTATTTCATTAAGCACAGCCCTCTCTGCTGCAGGCCTGCTGCAGGGCTTGCTTCAGCAGCCTCAGCCCACCACCAGCCAGGCATCATGCATGGATGCTCACCTCCACCTTGTGCTGCCGCTGCCTCCCCAGCTGCTGGGGTCCTGACAGTCATAGTAACTGTTACTTTTTTTTGCCAACCGTCAAAATGCATTTTGAATTTAAGTTTTGGGTCATTTCATGGGAGATACATGAGAAGTACTATTAGCATAAACAAAAATCTCTTCTTTTCCCTCAAAAAAAATCAGGAAAAAAAACCTTCCTGTGATGGCAGTTTGTGTGACATGGTTCCATTTCATTAATTTCATAGATATGAATAAATCCTGCTGTTGTGACTTATTGAACAAATCATGGTTAAAACACTATGATTTAATGCAGTGTATATTCTTGCTTTCAAGTTAATGCCTTTAGTACACTCTGTGACAAATAAAAAATCGTCTGCTTCTTAAAGATCTGTAGTTCCAATTTTCCTCAGGCTTTTGGACATACGAATGAACAGTTCACAAACAAGAAAATAAATTGCTAATTCGTATTACTCTACATTATTTAAATAAGTGATGGGTAATCTCAAATATTGGGGGCTGCAACAACTCCTAGGTGAATTCAGGACTTTGTAGCTTAGGGAAACAAAGATGAGTCAAATACTGACATAGAGTTGTATAAAACTATTATCAATAAGAAAAAGCTTTTTTGGATCAGATTTTTTTCTTCTTCTTTTCTGTCTTATAACGCATGATCATTTAGTGAAGCTAAGTGGGAGGAGAGTTTGGACAATTATAGACAGTACTTTTTGTACCGCACAGTAATTATGTCTTACCTATGAGACAGAAGTAACTATTTCTAAATGTTGATACGCACAATCAGAATCAAAGTTGGAAATTCAGATGAACAAGTTGCCATCAGTGCCTTATACATGATTCCTGTGTTTATGTAAACAATCATGGGGCAATAACAAAATATACATACTGATAATGTACCTACTGTGGCTTGTTCTTCCATTAATATGACGGAAGCACTCTTCACCTGTGGCTCCCTTCATGCATTCCTACAAGTCCCTAATCTTCAGATTTTCAAGTTCCCACATGACTCTAGAAAGAAGGGGAAGAGGGAGGGTCCTTTGTTTATTATGGAAGAATAAGAATCAGAATCAGTAAGAATCAGAAACAATGTTTTAATGTATGCATTGTTATTTTTTAAGTGTGAGGTAACATTTTGAATTGTTAGCTGCTATGAGCACAAGGTAAAAGAATATTAAAATAATATTCAGACATTGAAATAATAAGTTAAAGTAAAAGGCAGAGTTACATTAGTGTTTTCTGGTCTGGAAACCAATGCATGTCAGTTTTGCTAAACTGTTAAAACTAGTTTAAGTTTTTTGCTATACTTTCATTGACAATAGTTTGACTAATAGGATGAATTTACTTATATATAAATAGAGGTATACATTCTAACATTCCTGTTTTTTTCATTTTTTTAAGGAAAAAATTTGTATACTAATGAATATGTGGCAATTAAACTGGTAAGTTAACATTAGTTATTATTTGAGATAAAAATGCTCAAGATTTTAAACTGTTATTTTTAAGAAGTTAAAAA